ACAATTATTGGATACTGGAAATGGGAGAATTACAATTGAAGAAATGACAACAGCCAGCAAAAACCATTAAATTACCAAACGATTTTTATATCACTCACAAGAAGAATTGTTTCAACGGGTATTTCCAGAAATCAAAGGAAATTACAAAAATCATCACTGGTTAAATGAACGTATTAAATATAATAAAATGTGGGTGACAATTTCATTATTATCAACTTTCAACATATATTACCAGAAGAAACAGTTACTTACAAATCAATAGAAACTGTTATAGATCAAGTTGAGGCCGTAAAGTATCCAACTGAATTCTTAAATTAACTCGATTTATCTAGATTGCCACCACACATGATTAATCTGAAGATTGGTGTTCCTATCAATCTATTTATTGGGTTGTCCGGAAAATAATGCAGGATTTTGGTATTAAACAAAAAAAAAGAAACTAGTTACTTTAAAGCAATGTTCTTTAATCAAAATAATTTCCCATACTCTCAATACATTTCTCCCAACGTGTTGGTAACTTATTAATTCCGTCTGAGTAGAATTCAGAATTTTTAGAATTGATAAAGTCAATAAATGCATTTTCCAGTTCCGTTTGATTTTTGAATATTATGTGTTGTAAGTAGTGGTCCAGGTGTCTAAAAAAATGGTAGTCAGTAGGCGAGAGGTCCGGAGAGTAGGGTGGGTGAGGCAAAGTTTCATAGCCAAGCTCCAATAATTTTTGTGACGTTACACGTAACACATGTGGTCGAGCGTTGTCATGCAACAAAATGGGCCCTTTCCGATTGACCAAAGAGGGCTTCATTACTGCCAATTTCTGATGCATGGTATTAATTTGGTTACAGTATGATTCAGCATTGATGGTTTCGCCAGGATTTAAGAAGCTGTAGTGTATTAAACCAAATGAAGCCCACCATACCGTAACCATTACCTTTTTTTGATGAGTTGGGGGCTTTGGAGCTTCTCCTTTGTCGAGCCACTGTCCAGAACGTCTAGTGTTATCGTAGAGAATCCACTTTTCGTCACATGTAACAATTCTGGCCAGAAATGGGTCATTTTTGTTTCGACAAAGAAGTGATGCACAAACATCAAAGCGCTGATTTTTTGGCGATCGTTTAATGAGTGTGGAACCCAATTTTCGAGTTTTTTCACTTTTCCAATCGCCTTGAGGTGGTCAGCGACGGTCGTTTTACTGACTGTGAGTTGCTCTGCAAGTTCTCGAACAGTTGTTTTGGGGTTTTCTTCCACCACTGATCGCAGAACATCATCATTAAGAGAGGAAGGCCTTCCACGACCTTCTTCATCTTCAAGGCTGAAATCTCCCTCCCGAAATTTTTTAAACCACCTTTGCACAGTGCACTCATTAACACAACCCTCGCCCCAGACTTGGTTAATGTTTCTAGCCGTTTGGGCTCCGCTTCGGCCGAGTTTAAACTCGTAAAAGAAAATCGTACGAAATTCTCGCTTTGACATTATAAGGATGACTGAATTATTTCCAAGTAGCGGAATGCTACAGAGGTAAACAAACAATATCATTTGGAAGAGGATTAATAAGTGTTGACATTCAGTAATCCTGTAAACGTAAACAGAATATTTTATATAGATTTTTTTTAATGAAAACTTAAAATCCTGCATTATTTTCCGGACAACCCAATAGAAACATCGACCACCCTGATTTGGTCATCGAACCAACAATTTTCATAAGCAAATTTAAAGGAGAGGATGTGCTAATATACCAACGATGCCGACAGATATGCCATTCTAATTCAAACTATTGCAATTTATTAAATTGGCTTTTAAAATAAGTAAATTCACTAATTTCGAGGTCCGCTTGACCAATTAAAAAAAGGAAAAATGGCAAAAAGGAGGGAAAATTCAAAAGGTGCGTTGAGATGAGAAGTTGGTGTCCGATTGGATCGAGGTCGCGATAGCTCAAGTTGTAGAGCAGAGGCGTATCAAGCCGAAGATCGTGGGTTCGAATCCCGCTCGTGCCATTGGCTTTTTTATCTCAACTAAAAACCTTAATTAATTTAAAATAAGGATAAACAGGATTAGGTCAATACTTTTCTAATAGGCGATTATATGATATATGCTCACGTGAAGGAAAACCAACTGAATGGTAGTATCTATGCCAAATGAAATCAACAAAAACATATATCTTAGATCATTGCAATGAACTTGAAGCTAAGTAGAACAGTAAACACAATTTATAGAAGAATTGTAGAATAAAAATATAACAAAAATTCTTTATCAACATCCGGTCAACGATGGGTAGTTTTGTTATAAAACTACCCCCTGCAAATCCAAACATAAGGAATTATTTGATTTCAACCTGTCCTAAATTAAAAGTTTATTTTGACAGTCCACCGGCTATTTGTACATTCCTAAGGTCTTATTTATTTTGTAATAATTCTATCCGCGATAAAATCATGAGGAGGTGATAACAGGAAAAAAATATTGCGAAAACAAAACGATGTCAACATATTGGTCACATGTCCCTACGTCGTAGGGATTTCGATTTTCAAAATAAAATATGTTTAAACCTTTAAACATTAGAAAAATCTGGTTTCCTATTGGTAAAAACGACCTAGATTCCAATAACTCATTTTAGATAATTATTAAAGAAGTACAAGATACAATGAATACAAATCCTTTACAATTGTTTTATAAAATTTGCGAAATCTTTTTTTTTCTTGTTGAAGAATTGGGACAAAGATAATACGATAATTATTTTTTTGAACAGCTAGTAGCAAATTAGATTATCTCAGGGAGTTGACTTTATCTTTTACAAAATTGAGAGGGGGAGGCCAAAAAGCTTTTTGATAACAAAACTTGGTAATTTCTCAATGACGTCATGCTGCTGATATCATTAAATCAGATTCTGTCGAATTCTGTTAAATACCATTTTAGCTGTAGACGACACCTTCTTCAAACGATATTGGAATTGACCATTTCAACAGGTAATGTTGTAATTTGTAAGGAAAACTGGCATTTTCCCAAGATTTGGTGGAACTCCGTCGTCAAAGATGAATGTCAATGAATGATATACAATCTTTGAAGAAAAACTGTAAGTGCAAAAAATAATCACCTTAGATTTGACAAGGTTAACAGACAAATTACATTTCTCACATCTTTCTAATATTTTTTGTCAGCTACGAACAGCACATCTTCAGAGGATTATATAACTATATAATCTCTTCTCTCAACTCCTAGCTATATGCTATTTTTAAAGATACCCAAGGACAGCTAGTTAGTAATGTAAACAGCTAGCTACTTTACACCGTCTGGATGCCCTATGCTGTACATGCAACTCTTAAGACTGATAGGCCAAAAAGTGATAAACGGATTCAATTGCCTGAGAGTTGCATACTAAACAGAAAACCAGGTCACTTCTAATCCAAATAAACACACGCAGCTCATATAAACAAAGATCATCTATTGTTTAACATCAAACAATGTCGTTGAAGTTTTTAACTCTTAACATAAGGACAAGTGAGAAGAGGCTAGGCCACCAGAAGCACAATCATTGCGATGTTGGGTGTTCATCTTAGATAAAAGAACAGAAAAATGGATATTCCAGCCTCAGCTGTTTGATATGGAAAAGGAAAAATCAATATCTCACTTTAAGAATAGCAACCTTCAATGGGACAACCCGAAATTCTACTCTTGTCTGATTTTAATCAACATTTGAATCTGGGTGTTTTGCGGTGATTATTTAAAATTAGGAGTTTGACTTCACAACGGACACCTCCCCAGGTGGCGGACCAGAATCATCCAGAGAAGAAGGTAATCTCCAACCCGTCGTGAAGAAAATATCTTTAGGGAAAGATGAACCTGACTAAAAATTCCTGGTGGATGGGGGTTGGGAGTGGGGCCATCACCCCTCCCAGAAAAAGAACAAACGTTACGGAACCAATTAACAGCCAGAAATCACATGTGGCTGAAATAAAGCCGCCTCAGGTCGATTGGTCACTTGGAAAGGATACCAGAGGACAGGAATGTAAAGAAAGTTTGCTCGAGTAAGCCAGGTTGTACACGGCTGCGAGGATTGAGTAGAAAGAATAGTTGGACTACGTCGAGAACTACCTCAGAAAGATGAAGATTGGAGGTGACGCGCGGAGGGCAGAAGAGGCTGGGCCAGCATTGTTGCCGAGGTGAAGGAGTAGTAGTAGCAGTTTTAAAATGACGAATGAGCTGCTTTGCCTAAATTGGATGATGATTTCTGCCCTGTACTCTCTATGTAAAGTTCAGAGAGAACGGTCCATTTCTTAGACGAATGAACACAATTTTAAAAGAAATTCGTATGCTCTACCTATGCCGCAGTCCCCTGTCTAGATACTGGGCTAAACTTTGAACTTACTCTACTGGTAAAATATTGCAGCATGACAATGCAAGTACATTTATGTTAAAAAACTAAATATATACTTAATGTTTGTACAATTTTCTAATTTATTTTTGGATTTACTTTGATGTTCTTTAACTTTTTCTCCTTCTTTTTAATTTTTTTCTATTGTTCTGTTCTTTTGTTGCTTTATGTTTTCATTCACCTCCGGCAGATGGAATTTTCCGTGCCGTTCAGTGCTGTTATTAGCAGAATTGATCGGATAATCACTGAAACGCTATTCAATTCGATTTTAAAGACAAATTTGATAATTAAAAAAAAAATTCTAACTTGATAAAAACCGAAGACGTAGATAGCGACGCTAAACGTTTTTCCGGGAGCTTTTGATCATGACGCAAAGCCCTTGTGTTTTCAACCAAAAACCGATTTTCAACATGTTGGAAAACATTCTTATTAAAAATATTATCACATATTGAAAAGCACGGGACTTAAGTATAATGAAGTAAAGAAAAAATTGATCAATAATTTCCAGTAAATTTGCCCATTTATTACGTACTGAACGCATTTCAATATTTGAATGCCTAAAACAACTTCATCTACACATTAAAATAAATAAACCAAACCAAGCCAAAAATATTTTAAATAAAAAAAGAAAATTTACCTGTCTTAAAATTTATGTACCAAAATATTTTCCATCAGTTGCCAATTTCATTGTAAGCGTCCTACACACCTTATCGTACTGAGCACGTTGTTATCGTTTTTACTTAAATATTGATTTTAATCTTCTTTTATATTGATACACACAGGCGTAATAATGTGAATCGGAACTGTCAGATAAAGAACTAATCGTCAAGTTTACACCTATCAATAACCATTGAAAATAACACGTTAAAAACGAGAGACGTTTTTGCCAGTCATCGTTGCCTGCAGGGCTTATAATTGCTGATAATTTTTCATAAGAGAATCTCAGCGCCTAAACACCTAAACCTAAAGGACAGAAAACTTTTTTTAGCCTAATCTTGTAAAATAATCGGCTATCTTTGTTGGATTTTATAATTCATGTTTTGCTAAAATTATTATTGTTTTCTATTTACATTATATATATGTAATTGACATGAGTTTGCACCAACTCCCTGAGCACAGTTTTTGACTGTCTTGTGTGCTCTTGTTCGAGACAAACCACGAGCTGGAGCGTCTTGACCAGATGGTTGTTTGGGCACTCTGACACAGGTCTGAAGGGTAATGGAAAGGCTTAACCACTGGCCCTCTGATGCTCAAAATGCAATAACAACATGGCTAAAAGAAAGTGACATAAACATTGGGCTGGATTGGCAGAGAAGCTTTCATGTATTAAGAGCACTGTGATAGGTAAACCTCAGAGGACCTGACTTATGGTCATCCTCCACTCGATTAAGAATAGGCCATGTGACAATTTACTTTTAGACCATGTGATATATCAAGTACTCCACTACCTTGAGTGAACTGGTTTGTAAATAAGTAAGAATGCATTTAAGAAAGAATGAGAGAGTAATTTATTGAGGAACTGATTGCGTTCTGAGTTGAAATGACCAAGCCTCAGGAGCCCAACTTCGGCGACTGGTCAGACAAAACAGGTCTGACATCCTCAAGCCTGTTTTTCATATATGTTCAACATGCAGAAAAAGGTTGCTGGATTTGTCCCACCTAATTGAAGAGCAATTCCTTGTCTTTATATAGAAAGTGGTAGGAATGCAACCCAATATTAGAATTGTTCTTGAGAATGGCAGCACGAATCTGGGTCATCTGTTCCAATTCTTGGAGGAAACAGGGTTGTTTTAGTGTATATATTGTTGTCTAACAGTGTGATGAGAGTGAATGTATTTATTAGTGTGAATGTGTAGTGTGAGAAGGCCAGTAATGTTACATGATTTCGACCCTCAATTATAATTAGTTATATAAAAAAAGGATGATAAAGGAATATCAAATAATACACTACCTCAAATGGTAAGTAAATAAGAAAGAATGAATTTCAGAGTGAGTAAGAGTGTAAATGGTTTTACAAAATGATTTCATTGTGTGCTGAAATGACCTACCCATTGATGGCCCTTGGAGAGGATGGAAAAGATCGAGGTCTGACTGGACTACGAACACCCAGGTTGGATGATTCTCAAGGCCTGCTGGTAATTTATTGTAAATTACAAAAGCTGAAATTGCCGGTGGACTGCAAGAAATGATAGGCTCAATTCTGTATATACATGCAGGTACATGCGTATGTAGATTTGAGCTTATATAAATCAGTAACCAACACATGATATACAATAAACACGTTAACATTGGTCTTAACATGTGATCTTACATTTGTAGTTATATGTTAAATACATGCAACTGCAATAATGTGAGATTTCTCCATGCGGTCTGTGGTCTTTATCGATTATTTTGTTCTGCCTTTCCTCGCTGATTCACATATGGTTCAAAAATTGCCTTGACCACAATTTGACCCCAACATATGTACAACTTAACTCATATACAAACAGACAAACTAAATAAGACCTACTTGAGTCACACTTAGAAATAACCAATATGAGAGAAAATATGGTGAGAAAAAAATTAGTGATAGATCTTTTTCCTACAAAACCAGTGTGAATTGACAGACCAAAATGATCGATAACAATCATAATACAATATTGCTTATGCAGAAAACCCTTTTCTTTCAATGCATCACAACATTGCTGATCGATGATCACCAAGAATAAGCAGAGTTGCTTAACCATTTTGGCAAACCGAAGATGGCTCATATTGTTTATAATCGATCTGGTGCTTTTTAATCATAATATCCAATTTGATCTCAACCATTCATTTCGAAATTACGAATGAATAATCATATTATTTGTTAACCTATTAAATTATTAATTTCATTTTCAAAGCCCTGATGAAGAGGATAATTATATTCTTTGAAAGCTTGACAAAGGAACTCAGTGTTTTCTTTCTAACCCCTGATCATTTTTCTAACATATATTTATAATTGAATGACAGTTACGCATTCACTGTTTCTTTAGTAATTACGATAGATTATTGTAAATTAAAGCTTAATGGTTTCTTTTATAGAGAAGAGTAGTCTTATGTAAACTTGCCTGCCACAATTGCCTAGATGCTAGGCCCTAGCATATTCACTGTATACCACATTTTTACATAGGCATGGGGACGCCTACAGTCAAATATTGCTGCAAAATTTTTTAAACAAAATTGAAAATAATTTATGCAATGATAAACTAGTAGAAACTAACAATGATTATTTGTCATTTCTGATAAAATTTCTCAGCACTATTGTTATATTGTGAAATGTTCTGAGATATGCAAAGTCATCAACCCACAATTTGGTTATCTATAATCCTGGTCCTGTACTAGATGTTTTTGTCTGTACAAAAAGTTCAAGCTAATCTATCAATATGATTAAAATTGTTGTTGAATAGAGTAAACATATAAACATTAAGCAATAATAGAGGCTCTCTGAGAACGAGCGACAATCAATTTTTATAAAGTACTCTCAAGCAGAAGGATTTGTATTAGATTATAGGATATTAGATTATACTACATCAGATGTTCTGTTTTATATATAGCTAGAACCCCTCATCAGAATTTAGGTCTTACTTTTGCACAGACCCTATGAAGTGATCAGTGGCGATCAGATTATACACACATCAATTGTTATAAAACTAATACGAAAAAAATTGTCAATTTAAAATCACAAAATTAAATTCTTTTCTTTAAATTATTGACAATATAAAGTTGCATTAAACAGTAAAATAAAATTGTCTATGAATTATTTTCAGTTACATATCATCTGCCTCTGCTCTCTATGGAAAAATTTCACTGAATAATTACTCAACTCTATAACTTGGTCTTAAAATAAAACATTACAAATCAAAAATAGACTGTTTTCTTATTTGGCTTGTTTTCTTGTACAAGATAATTGGAAAAAATTCAAAAACAAACTGTTAAAAACATGTTTTAACTGCATTAAATTCCTTCTGGGGGTGAATTAAAACTAATAATATAATAGATAATTAAAATAAGTAAATAAAATCAGCCTACCAATCAACCCATGAAATCAATAGGTCCGTTAATTTTTTTATATTTCATTATATGTTTTTAAAAAATGATTAGTTTCATTTATTTTGTACATATAATTTTAATAATTATTTTTAATTGAATTAAATTGTTATCAGAGCATGGACATCAAGTAAGCATGGCATGTCAAAGGAAACCTCTGAAAGCCAATTCCTACTGGTATACTGACAACTCAAAAACATGTAAAGACACAGCTAAGTCCTTGAGATGAATCTGAAGACTGAAAATTTGACAACTAATTAATTTTGGCAATCCATGTTGGCAACGGGCTTGTAATTGGAAAAAATCATAAAATCATAATGAATTTTCTTTTAAAACTCAGAAATTAATTCGATATAACATTTGAAAAAGAGCCCAAAGCTTATATTGGAATGGAGTTGAAAAATGAGCCAGAAAATCTGTTTCTCAATCAGCAACAAAATTACATAGACAAAATTCTCACTGAATTTAATATGAACTTGTCAAAAAAGTAAGAACCCCATCTACTCCTGGCTGCGAACATGAGAACCTGACAGAGATTACCCATATCGTGAAGCTGTAGGAAGACTTCTCTACCTTTCAAATCCTACCAGACCAGACATAACTTTCACTGTAAATACTGCCTCTAGGAGAGTAGAAAATCCAAATGAAGGAGATGTTTTGAAGGTAAAAAGAATTTTCAGATACCTTCAAGGCACCAAAGACGTCAAAATAAAATATTCAACTGGACAAGATTATCTACAACTGGATGCTTATTGTGATTCAGACTATGCAAATGATTCAGAATCTTGTCGAAGCACTAGTGGGTTCATCATGCTCTACTGTGGTGGAGCTGTCTCATGGTCAACTAGACGCCAACCAGTTGTTTCAACCAGCACTGCAGAAGCTGAATTTATTAGTGCCAGTGTATGTGTTAAAGAAGTGCTTTTTCTTAAATCTCTGTTCAAAGAGCTCACTAATCAAAATTTAATTGTAAATTTATACATAGATAATTTAAGTATGATCAATATGATCAAAAATTGTTGCGATGATGGAAACATCCAAACATATTGATGTTAGATTTAAGTTTATTCTTTAGAAAGTCAATGAGAATAAGTTTGCTTTAAAGCATTGTCCAACTGAAGTACAATTAGCAGATGCTTTTAAAAAATCATTGACTCCTGCTAACTTTGAAAAATTGAGAATCAAATTTTTTTTTTTTAAATGTTTTTGTTTAATATGTTCAAACACTCTACTAGAAATATTTAATTATTTGTAGATTCAAATTTAAGGGAGAATGTTGGAATGTAAATTTGAATTGTTATGAAAAAAGCGGAACATGCGCACTAACACTTGTTCTCGTACAATGTTATATAATTGTAAGACCTGTAGTCAAGGTAGATATTTCAGAATTCAGACTGTAAAAATAATATCTAATATAAAACACCTTTTCTTTTATTTCTTTATAGTACAATACATTCATGTACAGAGTCCAGCCCACCGGCAATTCCAGCTTTTGTGCAATGTACAATAAATTGCCGGCAGGCCTCAGGTGCCAATCTGCCAATTGCCAAGCCCACCCCTAGTGTTAACAATCTGGGATCAGACCATGGGTCTTGTCCGTCTAGCTGAAAAGGTTAGGCTTCCAGTAATTATCAACAGCTATGTCATTTCAGTTCTTATACACATTACACTCTCATTCTTTCTTAAATACATTCTTACTTACTTACAAATATTATATAATTAACCTAATTGGGGGTCGAAACTCAATATTATGCTATCGGCTTTGTCATACTTCACATTCATGCTAATTCGACACATACTGTTATACAAGAATACATAAGTTAAATTAAAACAACCCTGTTTCGTACTTGAATTGGAACAGAACACCCACATATGGTGGGTGGCACGGACCCATGTTGCCGTGCTTAAGAACAATTCACATGTTCAGTTGCATTCCTATGTGCTCTCTATATGAAGCCAAGGAATTAGGTGGGATAAATCAATCAACTTCTTATGCATTTTGCACATATATGCCTTTAGCCCAAGAGTTAAGGGTCCATGTGTCAACCTCAGGGGGGGTCAGAACTATGTCTTGTCCGTCCAGCTGCTGAGGTTGGGCTCCAGAAACTAATCAACAGCTAGATCATTTCAACTCAGAACGCAATCAATTCCTCAATTTCTTATATGCATCTTTCTTATTTAGAAACCATTCACTCAAGGTAGTGGAGTACTTGATATTCATCTATCACTATTTTCTATGACTAACCTAATTGAAGGTTGGTGGGGTACTCAATATTCCATCATTGGCCCTCTCTCACCACATTCATTCTAATAAATACATTCATTCCCAAAACACACTAGAGGACATAAAAATATCAGTAATATATACAATAATACAACCCTGTTTTCTCCAAAATTGAAACAGTGAACCCAAATACTTGCTACTGTGCTCAAAAACAATTTTCATATTGGGTGGTATTCCTACGCATTCTCTATACGGAACCTAGGAGTTGCTCCCTTCAATTAGACGGGGGAAAACAAACAACCTTTCTCTACATGTACAAAAGTAAGTTCTCACATGGCCTATTCTTAATTGAGTGAGGATGATCATTGTTCTACAAGTCAGGTCCTCAGAGGATCACTTATTGACAGTGCTCTTGAAACGTGAGATCTTATCTGCCGATTGGCAATCTGATAGTATCACATTCTATTATTAATGTTTTTTATTGTGTTGTTAGGGTCAGGGGGATGGACAACGTGGTGAATTTCGGAGATTGGAATGTCCTCCAAACCTATGAGTCTGAGTATCCAGCCAACAACCACAGTTTGTCGAGACACTTCAGCTCGTCATAATTTAATTTTTTATACAACAGTATAACACAGTATTGTTCACAGAAATGTCTATAAATACATAGATGCCTGTTCGTGAAAAAAAATTATTATCATAAATATAATAACTTCATTTTTATTATAGGTTTCATTTCAATAAAAATTATTTTCAACTATAATCAGGATTTCTACTGCTCAATACAGTGGCTTATTAAAAAATAATAATTTTTTTTTAAGTTCCTTTCTGTTTAGAGAACCTTCAACCTAGAGTGTTAAGAGATTACAAAATCAATAAGATTGATATATTTCTGATGATGTCATGTATGAATGATAGACACTTGCAATGCAGTTGTGAATTTACAATTATTTTTTCTAACTTTATTCAATTCTTTAAAATTATTGTGTATTATATGTTGTGTGTATGTACTTTAAATCAAGAGAAAATAAGTTAAATAGATAATTCTTTATTAAAAAAATCCAAATAAAATAAATAAAAAAAATTTAATACCTAATCTTGTATTTCCTAATTCACAAATTTATATTCTATTTTTTTCTTTTTTAAATTATCCCTACTTTATTTTCACCCTCTTCCTACCTATTAGTTTGTTACCCGTTCCTTTTAAATTGTACAAAAAAATAATTTAAAGTAGGGTTTAAAGTATTATCTCAACATTTTACCAGACTGTCAATTTGGCTTTTGAGCTCATCATCCCACTGCTAATCAACTCCACAGAGTTACAGGTTACATTACTTCATGTCTTGAGCAGAAACTGTACACGACTGGAGTGTTTTTAGATGTTTCTCAGACTTTTGTCAAAGTAGCAAGTAATATCCAAGCTAACTGGCATAGTAATACACAATTGTAAATATTAAGCAGAGCTGTGTTTACATAATGATAATGATACATACATAAAATGGATATGAAAATAGTGCATAAACTGATCTGACCATTTATATCTTCAGTGCAGGAATTGATTAAAAAATTTTGTTTAAAGGGTATTTCAACTACGAGGCTATTTGAACCATCGGGGTTCCAGTGTTTTTGAAATTGCTATGGTCCTGGCAAGGTTGTGGCTGAATCGGTCTTCAAGGAAATTTGAGATCTGTAAAAAGTTAAATATGTCAATCTATAGACATATTTAAGGTTGTTCTGCCCTGATGATGATCTTAAAATAAGGCGAAAGCTTGGCAGTAGCAACTAAATTTGCTTTCTTATTCAAGACCATACCTTGATCCAGGGAGTTTGTTTTGAAGAAATATCAAAATCTTCTAATTTAAACCTAATCTGCTGGTTGTATATAATAATATAAACAGTTGTAGGTGAAAATAAATGAAGTAAAAAATATATGAATATATCCCCCTCCTTGCAGGGAATTTCAATTGTTAGAAATTTGATGCCAAATAATGAAAATTATATCAAATGCATGTATATGTAAACACAAAAATGGTGTATTTAATTGTCTCATCACCATTGATTGGAATCAGTTCGACCAAATCAATAGTTTTAAAAGAAAAATTTTCTTTATCTAATTTTTCTTTTCACAAAAATTACAATATGGAAAAGGAAAATTCTCGTTCTACCACAATTCTGAAATAAGTTAATCTACAAGAGTTTAGCCCTTGGAGATTGTAAGCTCAATTAAAGTTTTTTGGATGTAAAACTGCCAACTGGCAGAAACTTGAGAACAGTTTATACCGGGAAATGTACTTAACTCAATCCATTCTACTTACCCTGAGGACTTTGTACATTTCAGGCTTCATGCAGTTGTAGATGAATTTTATCATGCCAACTCTTGTTTTACTTCCTTGTTTATTGTTCAAAGTTCATCAGCAGGTTTTGTCTATTTACGATATACATAAACTTTCACAACATTCAATTAACCACATTGTAAAATTCATTGGTTTTTTAAACAAAGAACAATTAATCTATACTTAATAGAGAATATTTATGTTGTTTAACTTTTATTTATAAATACCTTTTATTGAACAGCTGTTTGTACACCAAGAGGTACCCATGACTGTATATCCTTGTATTAATTTCTTTTGTCCTGCAGTCACATTAATTAATATTGATTAGCATTGAATTAACATTATACAATAAGAAAAAAAGTGCAATACTATCCTTAAGCCATGTGGTCTTTGGAGTTGATCTCTGACTCCATCTCGAACTCTTCCACAGGAGGAAAAAAAGAAAAAAATGACCATAATGGTTTATCATATATTTACATATTATTACATTAAATTGTATATTTAACATGGGAAAAACAATAACTTATTCACACACAAGCAATATATGAAATATACATGCCGAAAGTAATTTTTAAAAATGATACAATTATATAAAACTAGTACAAATGTTAAAAAATTATTTTGTGAGATTTTCTTCTTCGCCATTCTCCTCTTCTGGCAACGGCATGAAGAGCGGCTTAACTAATGGCTTCAGCACTCGTCCTTTTCGTATCGGCATATCGTTTCCAGTCCATGGGCTGTCCTGAGGTGTGTACAATTGTGGTGTCATCGCTGATCTGCATGGTGTGACTGCAGTCATTTTCTTTAATGGTGTCTCTTTATTATCAAGCTCTAAATAGAGGACAGTAGAGGAATAATAAAAAAGGAAAAAGTAAGATATTAAAAAAAAAAAGAAATTACTTATTTCAATTTGTTTTTTGTAATAAGCCCAACGAAGTTCTTCAAAACAGAATTCCCTTCCTCCTGTAAATACCTGCAAAAAGAAAGTCAAAAAATGAACTAGCTAGCTAATAATTTTGCTGGATTTGGCTCTTATATTTTATTGTATGTCATTTGGTCTGCTTATCCTTACTGGTTTGGTGTTAGCAAGATGATTAGAAATGACCAAATTATTTCTCACATCGCCTATAAGAAATGTCACAATTTGTAATTGGTTATTTTCGAATATTTTTGTCTGCTTATCCTTGCCATCATTATTGCTGGGTCTGTGCAGCAATAGTCAAAAATAGTCAAAACCATTTTATAAGTGACGTATATTAAAGTAATTCCTGCCATACAGAATTTGTTAGTTTGTCCAAATAGTCATGAAAACAAGTGACCGATCCAGACAAATATCGATAAGCCAACCCTCATGAACAGTGAACAATTTTTTAAGTTCAAGAGACAGAATGTTTTTTTTTCCTGCATGTTTGACAGATTAAGTAAGATTTTATTCTGTTTGTCGGTGTTTCTGATTATTCTATTCTTTTCATTTTTAAATTTTAGGCTTAAATAGTGTAAATGATGTGTGTTATTTATGTGTAGTTATGAGTTTGTTGTTGGTAAATGAAAAGTGCTTTTTTTGTACAGTTTTAAAATTTATTTATTTTTAAATTTGGATACCAGGAACTGGTGGAGTTCCCATGAGCACTGTAGCTTTACAGCTTATTTTATTCTTTCCTGGTTTCATTTTGACAGCTTGCAACAAAACGAGTGTAAATTGAGTCCTTGATGTGTTGCTGTTCTTCCATAAAAAAACTCATTTTTGAACATGGACAGGATTGAATTAAGGTTCTCTGAGACCCGATCCAATGACGAGTGCCACCTCAGGGTGGTTTTTTAAATTTTATCTTGACAAATAACTAATTTTTAATACATTGGGTTCAAATTCAGGGCTTGTGTATTTCAAACTGAGAGTATTTGGAAATATCAATCGGAATCCCTGGGGTTAGATCGGCCTTGAATTCAGGACCACTGAGATTTGAACCAAAGGCTCGTACAATAATGAAAACGCTGTGCCAAAGCTTTTACACGTTCAATTTGGGAGCTGTTTCGTGTGACGTGTTTACCTCAAATTTTGGTAGATTTCCCTTCGCCCCAGGGTATGGTGATTTGAACAGCATCATTGGGTTTGGCTGTATTTCTGCTTTGCGCAACTTAAGCACTTTTGAAGAAGCTGGTGTCGGGTTGCTGCTAGGAGGTTTTGGAGGAGTCAAGTCTTCATCTGAGTCCACACAAACTGTAGAAATAAAAAATAATAATTAAAATGTATTAGACACCACATTGATGTCAAGTACCCTCAAAAGTAGGTGTAGACGGCACAGGAACTGGGGTGGATAATACGGGAGCTTTCTTTTTCAACCCTTGGTTCCACGGACCGGGTTTCAACGTATTTTCCTTGTGAGTCAATTCACTGTTTACAATATTTAACTTTTGCTTGGAGTTGGATCCAAATAAAGTTTCTCCAATTTCGTCTTCCTTTCAAAAAGTAATTAATTTTGAAAAAATGACTAAAAACACATTAGCATATTTAAAATGAAGTTACAACACAAGCAATGTACTATTTACAACAAAAATCAATTCAATTCAAGAATAAAAAAATAAATCAAAAGGTTTGTTCTGTTAATTTTTCTGATTATTTTTACACTCATTACAAATTCATAAAAATATATGTATTAAAATAAAAAATAATACCTTATAAACAGAAAATGTAGCATTATCTTTTTTAATTTTGTTTGAAGAAGACAAAACTGAAAATTTCCCAGGGGCTGTAGAGGAGGTTCGCATTGAGGTCACCTTTTTAAGCTTCCCCAATACTTGCCTTTGCCTCTCTGAAGTTTCGGCTGAAACTTGTTTTTCTGGGCAAGGCAGTTCACCACCCATCATCCGTCGTCCAACGCTCATCTGAAACTGGCTGAAATATAACACTGATCAGACTGATGTTTTGACATCACAACCGAAGAACCTTACACATGAGCGTTCTGCAGAATATCGTACGGCTCGGCATGGGTCGAAAGGCCTAATTGGTAGATTTGATCGGCCCTTTTTACATCCATATTCCTGTCAAGTGCATCGGCCCAGGCTTTGTAAAACATGGAACACATGGTGCCTAAGCCCTGGCCGTAAACCATTTGAAACAGTTCGATGTCGTTTTCTTGAGATTCGATCTGTTAAAAAGAAAACTCAGGATAAGAATGGAAATATCGATTAAATCCAAGGACTTACGTATTTTATAATTAACCCTATGAATCTAGGATCTTGTTTGTAACGATCATCATCCTTAAATAGCATAATTGTATCTTCGAGAATCGGCACGAGGTTGCTCTCTTTTCCATGTTTCGGATAAGTTTGTTCCAGCCAATGGACATAATTATATCTCGGCTCTAAGGGGTCATCTCCATCATATGTAATTATTTCCAATTCATGCTGACTAAAACAATAAATGAAAAGAACAAAAAATAAAACAAAATGTTTACATTTCAAATTAAAATGTTTACACTTTTTTCTGCTCCCTTGGGGCACCTCTCTGTCTATGGCCTTTACCCAACATATCATATTTAAAAGAAAATTGTTTTTGTATAAGGAGGAGAATGCTGCTGTTTTTGGAAAAAGCCCATTTGAAAGGATGTTGGGTTCGAATCTCAGTAGTCCAGAATTGACTTTTACAGAGATGGTTGCCCTGTGAATATCCTAATATTGAGGCCAACAATGCCCAAGTTTCTGGGTTAGAATCCTGGCACTGCCCTTGTAGTGCTATACACTATTTATGGGCTGACAAACATTTAGTCGCCATCACCTCTAAGCATAAAACATGCATAAATTTCTCTAGGCTCCGCACCATCAATTTTCAAAGCTTAAAACTGCACAAAAATATTTTAAAAAATTATTAAAAGGTATAGGAAGCCAAGCAACACTGCGGGCTCTTATAGACTCTGCCACTTTCAATTCAAAGCTAAGATGCCTAATATATTTTCATCCCCTGAGAAAACGAAATCAAGTAACTCTAAGTATAGGACTACAGCACTATGTCTTATTAGGATACTAGGGAATTGAAGGGAATAAACAGGTTAACAAATGAGAAAAAAACAGCAGCAGCCCTTACACCCTTTGGACCAGAACTGCAAATTAGCAAACCACCAAATCATGCTAAAGGCAGAACTGAACAAATGGATGAAGAAAGAAATGACCACTGGATGATTTACTAGGTGAAAAACAATCAAAGAAGTCCATCAAGATCTTAATAAGGAAACAAAAGCTACCTCACTCTAAGTAAACAGCAACTAAAGAAAATAATAGGCATTGCCCATTTAATTAAAACCTAAAAACATCGGGAGAACTGAGACTGAAACCTGCCGATTCTGCCATGAAAAAGAATAAACATCAGAGAGTACTCCATCTACCAAACAGTATGAGTGGGAACTATTAAAAGTAAGCTAACAGGAACCCTGGAAAGCGTTCAATGCAGTTTTTGGTTTGAATCCTGTCACTGTCTTTGCAATATTATATATTATTTATTGGGCCGACAAACATTGAGTGGTCGTAAACAGCCTGCCTTTCTACACATAAAACACAAATATCTCTTTTTTCCTCACTCATCTTTCTCTCCTGTTTTTTTAACTTTATGTGGTTGACAAATTACTAACAAAAGGACAAGAACAAACATACAAAGTAATGGTTTTTAAGCTCTAGCCTACCACCGATAGGAACCATGCCCCAGCAGACAATGCAGCCGAATGATGATGCAGCTCTTCAGTGGGACCTCATTGCTTTTGTAATCTTATATAAAATATTATTGGGGAAAAATAAGCAAATTTGAAAGTAAACTATAACATGGTCAGTTCATAACTCTCTAAACAGAAATATGATTTTTCAAACATGCTATTATATATTTGACCTTATTTTACCCGAAGGTTCATATAACCTCGTAGTACCATTGTATACCACATGGAAAACCATTGTAAAAAAATCCAACAGAATGCATTTAATCAACAGACACAAGTTTTATTGTTTTTACTGTTCATCAGCTTGTTGATATTTTTAATATTAAACTCATGATCTTCAGATGAGGTTTTCTGGAGGTGGTGACAGAACATTTCTCCACCATGCTAAAATTCTATCTAATGTCATTAGTGTCACCAATTTTCAACCTATTTCCAGTCTTACATAATGGCTAGGAGTATTTAATTGTAAATTAAATATATATTTCTTATATGCAAACTTGATTTTGGCAATTTCTTTAAGATGTGCAATGGTCCAGATATCTTGAAGCATATATAATTAGTAAATCTTTTTTGCATACATTCAGTATTAATGTTAAAAAATGGGGTAAAAAAACAAATGGAAAAATTACATTTCAAAATAAAAGTTAAAAGTAACAAAAATCTGCATATGTAGAAATAATTGATAACAAAAATTACTTTATTAATAAAACAAATCTAACGATATGTAGGACCTTTATTTTTTATTTCCTCTTTAAATGAGGTTTTTTTTTTTGGGGGGGGGGGGTTAAAGCTAAGATCTGTTTTTCACCACTATTAAACACATAGGAGGAGGCAACATAGTTTGATGTTCTATGGGTAACTGGAGCCGGCAGCAGACAACTTAAAAGATAATTGAAGGAATAATGGAACAATACATGTACATTGACACTATAAAAGAAAATTTGCAACCCAGTGCTATCAAGTGAGGTTTAGGATTGAATTCTATTTTTCAAGGAGATAATGATCTGGAAAATCATGCCACAAGTGTCGAGGAATGGTTGCTGTAAAACACGCCTGATATTTACTCCCAATAGAGCACCTCAGACAGGAGGTTAAAAGAGGCTAAAACAGCATGAAGTAAACAATAAACACCAACTTTCTGAGATTAAAAAAAAAAAAGTTTGCATCATGGACAAATATTTATAAAGCTGGGTTTCCATTGTGCGAAAATCATCCGTGCAATTATTTCACAAAATTTCTCTGCATTGTAGATACCTAGCCAGGACTCTGAAACTTTTGGCTGGAGGATGACGGGCTGACAGTTTTTAGTGTGCATCAAAGTGCTTTCTTGTTGTATGTCTTGAAATTCCGAAAGAACCAGAAGGACTGAATTCCAATTATCCAACTTATAGCTGTGATCAGAGCTATCAATATTTGTGGGATGGTAAAGATATGTCATTATAACAAGAACAAGATAGAGGATGGATGAAAGAAAATATTTTTTTTTTCTTTTTAATCTTAACTTAAAATATCGCCATGACAGCAAACTCTGATGCTGCAGTAGGTGTAGAGAAATGGAAACGCAGCTTAAGAGGTGAATAAACAGCAAAGGAGGTCTTATAGATTGTTAATTTTTTTTTGCGAACTACATGTACGATAAAGGGTGAAACTTATTCAAGGCTAACTTCAGGAGGGATTCAAATGGCCACAAACAAAAAGGAGTTTACTGTCTGCCCACTTAAAATTTTATAAATTAATATTAAAAAAAAATCCAAATCATCCATAAATTACTTTATGTTGATAAAACATTTAACTATGTATTAATTAATTTTTATTTTGTAAAATACATGTAATCCTAAAAGGGTATGTGTAAAAAATATACTCCCCCTACAAGAGTACTGTAGTGGAAAAAACAGGATAAGGAAAAATGTACTGGACAGCTCACTATAAATTATACACAAAAATGATTCGAAAAGTTTAAAAATGTACTCCACCAAAACAAAGCATCCTTTTGTTGGTGAATATTCGGTTTTTAGGATATGGTCATTTAGTGACACCCAATGTTGCGACCTTCTACAAAATACATCCATGTGACAATCCAGTCAAAAAATGTTTCTTATTTGTGCTGTAAAAACAATGAATGGCAAGTCTTTAGACGCTGAAGTTTGAAACCGTCGGTCAATTGTGAAGAACCCATTTGCTCAGCTTCTACATTTTCCCAGTCTATGTGAGCTAGAGGTTTCATCGCTTACATTGAACACCTGACATGTTTAACATGAATCAGGTTCGACTACTTCCTTCAATTCGTCACTGTTCAAGACAGAAGATCTTCAATCACCTCATCGAGAAGCAACCTTTTTGTACCACTTTTGGGCAGTGCACTCACTTATTGTTTCATCACTAAATGCTGTGCAAATTTTAAAGGCCTTAGTATCTAAATTGATGCAATAAGTACACATGAATGGTGAATTTTAAGTTCACCTGAGTTATGTAACATAAAATAGAATATGAAAAACTGTATAAACATGAACTCAAGTTCAATCATGTTACATTGAGAAAAAACCCGACACATTTGAATTCCGAGGTTGTTTAACATTTTTTAAATAAAAAAACTCACTCTCTTTCCCTGTCTAGTCTTTCTTTGAGTTCTGAATCGTTCTGTGCTTGGAGGGCGAGACCTAAATGATTCGCCTTTCTCCCCTGCTTCAAAGGCTGGATGTTCTCCTTGCACAAATCTAAAATATCTGCGTCCATTTCGTAAAACGCAACTGAAAATAAGGTTTAAGACGGAGTAGTAAATTTGTGAAAATAATCTGAAAAACAGTGATGCACTAACTCGATGAAAAAAGGGTTAAAAAAAAGTCGAGCCTGGATTTTTATGAAAAGAGGATTAGTCGAACTTAAAGCAGGGAACGGTATAACAGCAATATAAACAGCAAAAGCCCGCCTTAACAGTCGGAACAGGTTGCTGCTAAAGAGCCGGCAATGCGCTGCATTCTGGCGAGCAAGAGCCGAAGCTTCATATACGGGATGTACTTCCCACATTTTTTAAATTAAAAGTATAAAAAATTAAAAATTTATATTATTAAAAAATGTAAATGTACTTAAAAACACAAAAGTGGCCACCCTCCATTTTATTAAAAAGTAAATATTTGCAATCGTTACAACTTTTATTTGTTTTGTTTACCAGACATTAAAAAAAAAATTTAAAAAAAAAGTTAAAGGGTAAAAAAATTTTACCAAAAGATGGGGAGTTGGTGTACGAGTGGAATGAAGTCACGATAGCTTAAGTGGTTAGAGCAGCGGCGTATTGAACCGAAGGTCGTGGGTTCGGATCCCGCTCGTAACACTAATTTTTTCATCTCAACCAACACCTTACATAAAAAGAATAATTAATTGAAATAATTAATTTGGCGATTTAGATCATTAAACATAAATGGATTGACCAAAAATGTTGCTGTGGAACAATGAGGAAATTATTAAGTTCAATACAGAGTATTTCCTCCTCTTCGGTCCGCAAGAGGAGGAAAAACTCCGTACGGGATTTTACATTTTCTTCATTGTTTTCGTAGCAACATTTTCATTTTTAAAATATGACATAGCTAAAGAAAGATTAAATAAAAAATAAAAATGAGTAAGAAAATTTTATCAAAAACAATGAAGAAAATATACAATTGAAGGTAGTGCTGTAGAATATTTCTATACTCCTCCAACTGCGCCATTCTTACTTCCTGCAAATTCTGTATCATCACAGCGCGAAATTTACCCTCTCTGTCAACTCGACCCAAAGGTGTTGGAAAGGGTTTAAGTCGGGACTACATGCTGGCCACTCCAAACATTGAATCGAAGCCCGTTCTGAGTAGTCACCAACAATCGTAGCTGTGTTATGTATAAAAATAAAACCGTCGCCAATTAGTGAAATATAAGGAACAACTTCTTCTCATAACACATCTTCAGTGAACGTGCAGTTATGGAACCCTAGATGAAGATAAAGTTGGTGCCTTCCTAGAAATGCTTGCCCAAACCATAACACCATCACTATCAATGTTTGGGGGGGGGGATATATCGCTCTCGTGTTCTTTTCCAAACCCTCTCTCGGCCGTCAGAAGACATGAAACAAAACCTTGACTTATCCGAAAACAGTATTTTAGCCCATCTTGCTCAGACCGATTTACGTGATTTCTTTTGAAACTTAGCTGAGCTATTCATATTTTTATTTAGGTTTTGGTATTTAGCTATGGTAACTTCAATCCACTCGGACACCAACTTCCCATCTCAACCCCACCTATTTGAATTTTCCCTCCTCAAAAAGGTGGGGTTGAGATGGGAATTTGGTGTCCGAGTGAATCGAGGTCACGATAGCTCAAGTGGTAGAGCAGCGGCGTATTTAGCCGAAGGTCGTGGGTTCGAATCCCGCTTGTGACATTGACTTTTTTATCTCAACCAAAACCTTAATTAATTGAAAATAATTTATTTGACCAAGCGGACCACGAAACCTAATAAATGTAACAACTCCCAATTTCATGCCAAGCTTTCGTTTATTGTATAAATCTCTTCAGGGACTGATACGAATAAACATAAAAATTGGAGTGTGAAAATCTTAATATGAATACTATTTATTTACTGAAAAAAAAATCTATCAATACATCTATTGATGTATTGATCATCATACATGATCAATACATTGTAGTATTTTTGTGCGCTGGGACTACGGCGATCACTTTGTAGTACTTGTAGGTGGAATCTTGGTCAATCCAGTATTCTGACTCGACCGCACTTCATTTCAACACAATCCTCAGTCAAGGCTTGGAAATTTCATGTAGGCTTGAGCGACTTTTTAACTTACCGTACGTACTGGCCTCTTCCTGCCTCCTCTACGGATCTCGATTCGGAAGATAGCATAGCCTTGCTTATTCCTATGTTCCATTCGTCTCGCTTTGTTCCGGTCTGGATGACCTTTGGGACCCTGTGCATTTTAGCCATACGCGAATTCGCAAAAGGTATCTCAAAGCATCGGATTGCTTCTTCAGAACAATTCCTGGATGTACTTGTAACTCCTACTGTTGGATGAGGACTTTAAACACGCCATAATAAAAATTTCACTTTCTCCTCTCTCGATTTACCTGGTAAGAAGCTATATGGAGTTTCTGCTATAATGAAGAAATGAAATAGATACAAATTTTTAATATGATAATTGACCAACTCAATAAACCTCTTAAAGTTCATATTTTAGAAGTTGAAAAAAGTGTCTGTAACTTCAAAAATGTGGAGAAATTTTAAAGTTCAAAAAAGTAGTAAAGTTTCTGAAGTTTAATGTATCTAAGTAATTAAAGCATTTCTCCTTCATGCCGTATGTTTATGTACGACCTCGCACCCTAAGAGTACAACTTATTTCGCCTATTGTTCACATTTTGTTGGTTCAAATTAAAACTGAAAAATAAAACTAATTGTTCAACCCCATGAATATCTGACAGTCTTCCTTATAATTTCAAGTTGAAAAAGTCTGTATGGAGTTGTGAAGTTATTAATGATCAAGGTTGCTAAATAGACAGAAAAATAAAGAAAAACCAACAATATTTATAATTTACACGCATGTAATTAAATGGTATTTGAACTTCTCCCTCATTCTGTAAACTTTCCACGGACTTTGCTCCTTCAGAGTTCTAATTGTTCTCACTCTTGGCTGACGTTTTATTAGGTCAAATATCCAAACTAAAAAAGTAACACGATAAAGTTAAAAAATAATTAATAGATTTTGTAAATTTTCTCTCTCATGCATACGTTTTGTAGTGAAAACGATGCACACGTTGTAAAGTTTTTATACTTTTTTATAGAATAGTTTTACTCTGTAAAATACATTCTCCATATTATTCACAATTAAAAATTCATGGGCTATGTCGGGATTCGAACCTAGGTCAGCGAATGTGGAAAATACGAGTAGGAAGCCCTAGCCACTCGGCCACTGCTGTCCCCGTTTCTATATTTCTGTTATGCGAAATAAACTTAAAAAAATATCTAAAACGAACCAACACTCATACATATTGATAACTTATTCATTTTTAGGTCTAAGGACTAAATTGGAAAAGCTTGAAGCTTAAGTACTTAAAGAACTGCAAAAGATTACGTTCATTCAGATTACGTTTGTTGAATAAAAGGGTGGGTCTAAGACTAATAGAAACTAAATCCAGAAAAGAAGAATAGTTCTTAGTTTAAAAATGCATAGGTAAATTTGTTAAACATCAGATTAATTTTCATGAGAGCCAATTTCACTTTTGAAAACTTGTTGCGAGTTTATTCTTCGTCCTTTGTGTTTGCGAAGGGACTGTGGAGTTTATCATGCCGATTTCGTTCCCTCTCTGGAAAATATGGGATCGTGGGTACTGGATAACTTTTTTATTTGTGAGGACAGGTTGGTCTGGGAAAAAATACAATACTGCCGTGGATCTTCAATCTTTGGTGCAACAATTATTCAACCCCGTTGCTCAAAAACTCCTTGCCGGTTGAACATTAACATAGATAAAATCAGCGAGTGGCTTCAAGAAAATTTATGAACACTATTTCGATAAACAAGTTTGGTGTTTGGTGAAAATAAATTTTACACACGCTATATATAAGGTGTCCCATTTTAGACGCAATTATCTCTTCACAGAGAAAACGATAAAAGTTTGAAGCAAAAGATTTTTCTTCTAAGTTCTAGTTTATAAATATGTTAACTGTGTCATGAAAATGTTAAAAATAATGTGCTTTTTTCATACAAAATACATAATTTTGACCATTACAATTTGGAATTCTGATGTAGTGTAAGATTGACAAACTGTAGTTGAATGGGGATGACATATGATCTAGGCGGGTTTGTTCAGAGAATGATTTCATACGCAGGATAAATGAGACAAGCAATGATTTTGAAGGGTTCATTTTGCTTGCCTGTCACGGATAATTGGCCTACTCTGTCTGAGATGTTTGAAGTATTTCCAGGGCTTTTTCATATGATATTGCTGATTTTAAATGTTTTGAGGATGAAAAAACCTTCCCGTCCCATCAGTTTGCGTTCCACTCATTTGACTTCACTGTGCGATGGGTGCACTGTTGGCTATCCTACACTATCTTCCGATCTTACCTCACAGACTGGTATTGCAGTGTCTGTCAGGGAACATCTCTTTCTTCTTGTATTCCAGTAAAATCTTGAGTCCCCAAGGAAGTATGTTTAGTCCGATACTTTTTACAATATACACTGCTGATATTCTTACTTCCAAAAACTAGGTCTAGATTTGAAATCTTTGAAGGAGAGGACATCACTAAATCACTCCCCGAGATTAAATGGTCCAAAATCTTGGCGTTTGTGAACAGGTCCAAGAGATTTATACAGGACACGTGAGCCTACCAAGTCCCGGACCTAGGGATGGGATACGAGTCTACCCAGGCATTGAACCCCTCGGGTCTTGGTCGCCCACCCTGCATAACATATACTTCCCAAAACAATCATCTGAAGGTTTGCGACGACTCGGCTAACCTCTCTCTCACTTTATCACATCCGTTGTAAGCTCTTGTCTTCAAAGTCACTTCACCTTATTTGGAAGAAACGGGTAACTCCCTACCCAGAGTTGATCACCTGTGCTCTAATTTTGGAGGAGCTACTTGCTTTTCGAAAATAGACCTAAGAAATGCCTATCAACAATTGGAATTAGATGAAGAATCAAAACAAATAACAACAATTAACACACATATGGGGTTGCTGAGATATAAAAGACTGTGCTTTGGGATTTCCATAGCTCCAGCAGTGTTTCAGAGAATCATGGATAAACTATTGACTGGAATCAAAGGCGTGAGCACCCTGCTTGATGATATTTGTGTGACTGGTAAGACAAGGCAGGAGCACAATAAGAAACTAAAATTGGTATTATCAATATTAGAAAAAGCGAATCTAAGAGCAAA